TATATATATATATAACTCTAAATCATCCCAAAATGCACTGATGCAGACATGGTTATGTGATGGAGTCTTGGAATGTGCAAATTCCATGGATTCTTCATGCAACTCCTTCTTGAGATCCTTGAGAACGATTCAAGGAGATAAACCAAAAAAGAAGGAGAAGTTTTGCTCAAGCTTGAACCAAGCTCCTCGGTTAGAAGAAGCCTAAGCCTAAAGTTACAAAGAGGATAGCTCTAGGCAATTTGGAGAAGAACTCTCACAAGAGGACTTTCGGCTAGAGAGAGAAATGTAGAATAATTCTCTTATATAATGCTCAAAAGTGAGAGATATATACACATACCTAATCTATATATAGGCCAAGGAAGAGTGCTAAGGAAGCTAGGTTGGTCAAGAGTTTAAATTAACCATGGTATGGTTAATTTTGACTCTTGGCACCAAAATTCAAATTTGAATTTCTAATTTTAGATTCTCGGATCCTCCATGTGCCACGTGTGAGATTTGCATCTTAATGTGATTTGATTCACCTTTGAAGTGAATTAGAATCACACCATGTGTACCATCTACGTGGTCAATCACGACTCTAATTACACCTTAAATATGTTCCAAATTACACTAAATGTAAACTCACATGAAATTCTTATCTAAATGGCCAAAATACATGGCCTAAAACAAACTTATGTTACTTGGCCAAAATATAGGCCCATAAGCAAAAATACAAGCCCAAGTGGGTCAACCCTACTTTACATGGGCTTTAGTGCACAACTCAACTAAAGAGTACTATGAACTTTTTCTTGGAGTTACTTGGAGTTAGTCCAATCCTCCTCTAGCCTTCTGACCATAGCCCCAGTGATTGGGTCCTTGGCCCATGGGCCTCCATCATCATGCAACTTGTTTTGTTTATGATGATTTACAACAACGATGACACTTTCTCCTGCAAAACTCACATAAAGATTTAATTTTTATTGTTCCAAAGTTGAATTAAGTAAAAAAAAAAATTCTAGTTTTACATATTAGTTTCATGAATCATAATTTCTCGCTCGTTACAATAATAATCAATGCAAAAGATAATGATATTAAGAGCAACAAAGGTGTACAGGGAGATTTTCAACTTTGTAGGTAGAATGTTCAAATTAGGGATTATTTTGGTTTGGTTACTACAAATCACATATTTCGAAAGAGAAAAGACACATGATGATTTAATGAACCTTTTAATCTTATTCACTTGTTTTAATCTAATGCTTAAATGTGTTCTCTTTTAATGTGTGTGTGTGTGAGAGAGAGAGAGAGAAAGGGATTTATTTACTCTTAAAGTAACTCATGGTAGAGTTATTTTACTCGAATAACAAACAATTATGTTGAATTTCAATGATGTAACTGTTAAATTAAAAGTTCTTAATGAATATATGAACTTTACAATTTTTTTGCAAAGTTTGAACATTATATAATATTTTGTTACATAAATTTAAATTAAGGTATAATATGTTTTTGTGAAGTATCAAATAGTTTTTTTTTTTAAGAAAAGAAATTCACATCAAATATATGTTCTCTAACTTCATTCTCACGATCTGAATATCTTAAACCTTCATTATTTTCACTATTTTCCTAATTTAAACTAATCAAACTCACCATTGACTATCCATTTTGCTTTAGCAACTACCTAAGTAATTTCCAAATACACACTTTCACCATGAAAGTTGAGTCACATGTTTGAGAGTTGTCATCATTTCTTCTCATAATTCTTAATTTTTTTAGGTCCTTTCTCATTTTCCTACACATTATCCTTTTTCTCGCAATATTAACATTGCACATTAATTTTATTTTTATTTATATTTTTTAAGACCAGAGACTAACAACGAATGAGAACTCATTTTATATAAATTCTAGTTTATTTTTTTATAAGTATATCTCATAATTATTTTTTTAGTAAAAATATGTTATAAAATTATTATATATATATATATATATTATTTTTTATTTTATTTCTTATTTTTTATTTAAAATTTTATATTTTATTCCGTTTGTACCAAATTTTTCGTTTAAAATTAATGCACATGAATTTAAAAAATACATAATAAATTTTAAACTAAAAGCTTTTTTTAGTATCCCATTATCTCAATTCTATTATTATTATTTGTATAAAAAGTGAGTGAATAGTGGATGAAAAAATGCCTATTATTAAATAGAGATATAATCGAGAAAAATGTATTCATTAGATTTTAAAAATTTATACTTTATCTGTATATATTGAGAGTAAATTATATAATTCTTTTCTAAGAGATAAAAACATTACAATCATTCTCTCTTATGTTAAATTATACAAAGTTTATATATATATATTAATAGTAAATTACATTATCATCTTCTAAGAGATAAAAGTATTACATTGTCTTTCTTTCTTATATTTTTTCTTTTTCGACACCTTCCTTTCTTATGTTAAAAAATATATTTTAATTTATTTAACATAACAATGTTAAAGTAATTAATGCTTCTTTCCTCTAAGAGATTCAGATAGTACACTATGTTAAAATATAGAATAAGTTATACTTTGACGGAAACTTTAAAGAGGGACCAGATTGATATAATTCCTCCTTCAAGCTTCTTGAACGAATCTTTCTCTACTTGGTCTCCTTCTAGCTTCATTAATGGCTTCCTAAGGTGTTAGAAGCCATTTTCAAACAGTCATGGAAGGGTAGGATTCTCCCTTGATGACGCCACACTCATGTGAGTGATAAGTCCCTCCAATTTTCACCACACTCAAGAGAGGATAAGAGAAAAATAGCAAGTTTCAAGGAGAGAAACAAATTTTGTGAGAGAGAATTAGATAAAATTCATCCAATTCATGTATAAAACTCAAAATCTAGTATCAAATGGGTTAAAACTACAATATATGGAGTTTAGTTGGCTTATGGTGTAAGCTAAACTAACCATGGTTATTAGCTATCTTGTACTTAAACTAACTAACTCTAGTTAAATGTTTACAAGTCTAGTTAGTTGTTTAGAAGCTTATTGTAACACCCCAGTTTTCATACTTTTTATGGAGGGTAATTTAGTAATTTTCATAAAATTTATTAAGGGTAATTTAGTAGCCTAGAACGGGTCGTTCCCAAACTAGAACGGGTTGTTCCAGACTACTAAAAAGACCTATCTTTGATAGCCTAGAACGGGTCGTTCCCAAACTGGAATGGGTCGTTCCAAACTACCAAAATGACCTATAACCCTAGTTGGGAACAGGCCGTTCCAAAGTTGGGAACGGGCCGTTTTAAATATGACCATTGTGTGTTAAATCCCAACTCCAGAACGGGCCGTTCTGGTTTAAGAATGGGCCGTTCCAAATGTGTCGTTCTGGTTTAAATATGGCCCTCAATCTTATGTTTGTTGTATGCTCATTTATGAGGGGTTTTTCCCAATTATATATGTTTCTTCTATTTGCTCTTCTTATATGTAAATAACTGTATAATTTGAGAACTCTATGGGTTCTTAAGGGAATGTATTGGTGATTGTAAGAGGAAATTGTTTGAAGAGGTAATTGTATAAGTAAATTGTACTGTTTTAAATGTTTATTGTATGAATTAGAGTGCTCTGTGGGTTCCTATGGGAATCCTATAAGAAACGAGCAAATTTCTAATATTTTCTGTTTTGCTTTCTGATTATTCTGTTATATTCCTTGTTGAATGAGATGTACGAATACGTGTTTACTTTCGCAAATAGATAAGTTTTAATATGAATTAAAGTGCTCTGTGGAGACTATGTGAATATGATGAGATATGATGATGAGATATGATAATGTGATATGAGAATGCATAGAGTCTTGATTGACATGTATCATTTGCATAAATGTTTTTAAGGGTACGATATGGAATACACCGCCAGAGAAGGCTCCCTTATGTAAAAGCTTGGGAATTAGTCCTTGGGGATAGCTCGGTTTAGAAGTCCCAGTCTCGCCCATTGTGTGCATGGGATGTATCTTGCGCGGCTTAGCTATCCCGATGAGACCCTGATAGTATGTCTTTCTAGTAAGAGTGCGTAGAGGGTGTGACCCGACATGTGCTCCTAGACTACTCTCGTGTATTGCTAGCGGCAATACGCCATGTGATATGTGTTATTGGCACCACATGCATGATAATATGTAATCCGTGTCCATTACATGTGCATTTTAATGTTATATGTTAAAGTGATTTTTATGCCTTTAATGAGTGGAATGGGATATTATTGTTAATCTATCTATGCTATGTACAAATATACATGTTTGTTTGTGTTTGACTATCCGGTGTATATTCCTACATTTTGATCCAGAGTGAGATGTTTCTCACTCCCTTTTCTTTTGTGTTGTCTTCCTTTGGTTATTATACAGGTGATCATCAGCATGAGGCTGACGATGTTGGTGATGAAGCTTAGGCTTCATTAATGTTAGGCTTTGCTTTGATAGGACATGTGACATCGGGGCTTTTAGCATTGGAGTTTCATTACTGTTATTGTGTTTTGGAAAGATTGATGTTTTATTTTGTCATCATTTCCGCATTGGACTACGATTTACGAAATATGAATGTGAACTCTCTATCTATGTGTTTTAAAACCTTATTTTTAAGCAAGTTTTATTTACTCAGGAATGTACTTTATATTTAGAGTTAATCACATATACACTGTCAGTGTAAAGTTTTTTTACACTAGCAACCAATTAGATCTTTTAATTGTGCCATGTCACTATAAACACATTTACTTTTAACAGTGACATGACACAATTAAAAGATCTAATTGGTTGCCAGTGTAAAAAAATTTTACACTGGCAATGTATAGGTGATTAACTCTTATATTTATCGTGTATTATGTATGTGGGGTAGAGGGTGTCACACTTATGGAACAAGCTAAACTAATCCTAGTTTAAAAATAACCTAGATTAGCTTAAGTTAACTCCAACTATCTAACCTAATTATTATAACTACAGGACTAATGATTACTTTTAACAAATTTGTTAAGATGTCACTATCAAAGCTATGTAACTTAATTTGTAACTTGAATGACTAGTTTGGTATGATTTGGACGTCTAAACCACTTGCATGAGCAAGTGGACGTCCAAACCTATGGGCCATAAAAAGATTTAGGTCATCCAAGCTCAAATAAGTCTAATAAGAGTTAACTAGTTACATTTTCCCTAATCTACTAATTACATACTTAGGTAAAAATAATACAAGGACAAAATTACCTACACTATTTGACCCAAAATACAAGGTTAGAATAAAGGAAAATATTTACAAGGAAAATATACAAAAAGAGGAATGAACTATGAAATAAACCTATAGCTCAACAAAAAGCTTAGGTGTTCTATCTTCACCTTGAGTTCACTCCTCTTACATTCTTCTTGACATTGCTCTTGTCAAAGGTTATATGATCTTCAAGAATAGTTTTCCATCATACTTTTTTTATTTTCATTTAGAGATCATATATGAGTATTATATTATCCTTTTCCTATCAATTCTTATATATTAAACACAAACTGCTATCTTGCGTGAGAGTGTAAGGATTCTTTTAATTTCTTTAATGAGAGAGTTTGTAGGGATTCTTTTAATTTCTTATCTAATTCAATTTTTATTTATCATAATTATAATTATAATAAATGAAATATTAGTATTTTAAAATTAATTATCAATAAATAAAAATAACTTTGTACTTCAATATAAATTATTTATCATAAAACTAATATATAATTTATATATTTAAAAATATTTATTTATATGAAATTTAATTAAATATCATTTATATATTCAAATAAGTATTATTTATATATAATATAAATTTTAATTATATATAATAAACATATTTTCACATTGTACAAACTAAAATACTAATTATATTAAAATATATAATTTGGAGTATTTAATTTAACTATCTAAAAGATATTCTATGTAAGAGTATAAAATTTATTTGATTAAAATATATGTTAAAATATTTTTAATTTATCATCATTTATTTACTTGATAAAAATTATAAAATATATAATTAAAATTTTAAATTAATTTATTAAAATAATAAATAAATTAGAAATTAGAAAATTAATTTACATTCATAAAAAAATTGTATATTTGATAAATACATATTTTAGCATTATATTTTTTTATGCAAAAGTTTAGATTATGATAAAATACGACTACATGTTAAGCTAGAGACACTCACTAATCTCTTTGAATTTTTCAAGTAGGATTACGAATTGCCTATCCATCTACACTGCAAGTCCGTATGAAAGAATATACAACATTACAAGAGCTAAATTCAATCTCAAATTCCAACTAATAAGAGCAAAAATAACTTAACTAGCTGTGTAAATCTCATAGGACTTAACATCATATATTTTTTACATATGAAAAATAATACTTTATCAAAAGAACATCCATTTATTAGATATTTATTAAAATATTTTTTTTAATAATGTCAATTAAATAATACTTTAATACTTTTACATTATCTTTAATTACATATAATTAATATTATATAATAAATATTATTTTATTTAAATATTTATAAAAATATTAGATTAACTATATTGATTAAATATTATCTTAATATGTGTTAGATTTTATTATATATATACATTAATTTTTTTTTATAACTTTACAATATTTTGTGGGAATAATAATTAAAAACATTTCTCTTAAATGTATAATTAATTTTAGAAAATCTATAATAATTTTTAAATAATAATAAATATGTAAATCAAGAGATAAATTGTTAATGTATAACATTTTTATTTGTTAAAGGAAAAAAATGTTTATATTAACATAAGAAGTGAGGACACCGTAACATTTATGTATCTAAGAAATGTTAATGTTAAACATATTTTGGTAATAATTTTTATTTTATAATAGAAGTAACAAAAAATTTTAAAAATGAGTAAAGTGTCATATATTGACATTTGTTGAGGGATGAAATAGTAACTTTCAACTAAGAGAGGAAGATAGTATAATATTTGTATCTCTCATAGAATGTAAATGTAATTCACTCTTTATTTTAACACAACAGAAGAGGGTGATGTAATATTCACATATATGAAACAACAATAATTTGGTAATAACTTTTTTTAAAAGGAAAGGTAATAGAGCTTTAATAAAATATTTTAAAAATAGATAAAATATCATATTAAAATCTGTTGAAAGAGGAGACTGTAATTTGAAATATAAGGAGAGAGAACAAATATAATATTTATATCTCTTTAAAAAGGGAAATGTAATTTACTCATATTAAATATAAATAATTATTTTATGAGAGAGGGCTTTTAGAAACTTCTTTTAAAAATTAATGAATTTTATGCTCATTTCTAATAAAAAGGTTTTTAAGAATTTTTAACTTCTTATATATTTTAATTAATATTTATCACCTATATTTATAAATTAAATTTAATAATTTTAAAATAAACTACTAATAATTACAAATAATTTTTATCACAATATATATTATTTTCTACAACCATATACAACTATATAACAATATATAAAGATGATAATCTATTTTGTCAAGCATAATTTTTTGAATAATTTTATTTTATAACAACTTTCAAATGATTATTTTATTTTGACTCCTATTTTATAACGTGAAAATAGGAGAAAACGTGGATTCCAAACATATTACCAAACACTCACTTAATTTGTACTTTGTAGGGGTCAAATATTTATTATATTTATTCTCAAAATCACGTCCAAGTTTTCAAACCTAAAAGCAAACAGGCTATAAGATACCACCAATAATTACTTAAAAAAAAAAAAAGACTCAAAGGTTAAAATTTGGAACGAAAATTAATTTAAAGTATCGATCTTAAGCGTAATATATTCAGTTCCCACCAATTGAGATCGCATAATTTTCCCTCCACAATTCAAATCCTCCCTCTAAACAAAATCAAATCAAATCAAAGCCACGCTCCCAACCCAATTCCTCTATAAATATTGAATAATTGTTGCGCCTTTTTCATTCACCAAAACCAAACACGCCTTTAACCACTGCAACTGTTTCCTCTATGGCTTCTTCTTCGGTTTCATTCGACGCTGCCAAGGACACGTTTGGCGAAGTCCATGTTATTGTGGGCCCCATGTTCGCCGGGAAAACCACTGCCCTTCTTCGTCGCATCAAATCGGAGCTCAACGCCAAAAGGTGTTTTTTTTTAGAAATTCGATTTGGGATTTTGTTTTTTATTTTGGGTATTTTTTTTTGTTAATGATTATTGTTGTGAAGGAGTGTGACGTTGTTGAAATCGAGCAAGGACACACGATACGCAATTGACTCGGTTGTGACGCACGATGGGGTTAAATTTCCTTGCTGGGCGTTACCCGATCTCTTGTCTTTTAGAGATAAATATGGCCATGATGCTTATCAAAAGGTATTGTCTATGATCTTTTTGTTTTTATTTTTCAGTAAAATCTTAGTTTTTATTCAAATAAGAGAGTGGAAATTTAAATAATTAACAAGAAAGGTATGAGATTTTTGATGATATGTATTTTTACTTTATCTAGTGAATATACATATATATATATATTTTTTTTTTTTTGGTTTTGCACCTTGATTTAATATTATTTGATTGAGAGATAAGTAAAGTCTGATTAATAATTTTTTCGGTCAAAGATTAAATTTAGGTACTTTTTGAATAAATTAACTTTGGATTCAATATATTAATTATTTGTATCTAATTCTTTGATTTATCAAGTGAAGATTTTAAATGGGAGAATTTACTCCTATGTTTTTATTTTGTGTTATGTGAGGTTTTGAAGAAAAATTTGATAAATTTTAGAGAAGGATATAATTGTTTAGGTAATGTGTAATTATTTAAAAATAATAATTTTTTAAGGAAAAGGGGAATCAAACAACCTTACATCATAATTGGTTGCAATACCCATTCCTTTGTGCCTTTGTTTCTTTTCCATAACATGACATTTTATTTTAAGGGAAGAGGGGATCAAAATTCTATGGTTATAGTTAATGTTTGAATGTAGTTGTAATTATGATTTTGTTATTAATCCTTAGTAATGTGAAAAATTGCAATTGTGGTAATAGCGATTCCAAAAGTCTTGATATTTGGGCTGCAATAGTGGTTAGGACCACTTTTTAAAATCTTGGTTGGAGTTATTAAAATTGTTGAATTTTTTTAATTACTCTTTTTTTTTATCGAATTTTATTAGATAAAATGATATTTTCAGTTATGTCTTTATATTATAATTTTTTTTATTGAATTAATTTATTTTAGGAGTAAAATGATATTTTCAGAGTTGTGTCTCCATAGTTAAATCCGAAATGGCTTGCTAAAATATTTAGTGCTTCTACTTGGTTGTTGAGGTATGTTTCATTATGTTTGGTGAATGTGTTTTACTACTGTGGATGCAGTTGGATGTTATTGGCATAGACGAGGCTCAATTTTTTGATGACCTTTATGAGTTTTGCTGCAAGGCTGCTGATGAAGATGGTAAAACAGTAATTGTTGCAGGCCTGGATGGTGATTACTTAAGGTACTACTTTTCAAGTTAAACCCCATTGCAATGCAAGTTTTAGTATTTGGTTTCCTTCAAATGCTTAATTTTTGAGGTCACCCTTTTCCAGGAGAAGCTTTGGCTCAGTGCTTCACATAATTCCACTTGCTGATTCTGTGACCAAGTTAACAGCTCGTTGTGAGCTATGTGGCAAACGTGCTTTTTTCACCTTGAGGAAGACAGAGCAGAGAGAGACTGAACTAATTGGTGGGGCTGATCTCTACATGCCTGTCTGTCGCCTACACTACATGAACAACCAAGTTGCTGAGAAGTGTGTTGTTCAATCTCAAAATGTTAAAAGTGATTCCCTTCTTGAAGCAATTGCAGATGTTTAAGGGGTTGTTGGAAGTTGGCTTGCATGTGGCCTCTACCATGTTTAATTTTTCATAGAGCCATAATTGAATCTCAATGTTTTTCTTATATCACCCTTCTGTTCATATTTAATTATATATATGTATTTCAGTTTCTTAAATCTTAATGCTCCTTCATGTTATGTTACTTCTGGTGCCTGCCATTTGGGTGGCTCTATTGTTTGTCCTTTTCTTTTGACGTATCTATCTACTTGAAGTCAGGAAACTGCAAAACAAGTGTAGGGGAATTATTTGAATGCAGCTTGATGGTTTTCCCTTTGTTTATTTGAATCTGCATCTTGAATCAATCGATCCACATGTTGCCAAAAGCTACTATTATATCCTTTGCATTTTTGTTACATTTTGACGTTTGACATAAAAATAGATCCATACACACTATCTATTAGACAAATATGTTATGCAGTCTCGATCCATGTCTTACCGTGTTCTCAGGGATGAAACCAGAAAAAAAATTTAGGTGGACAAAATTTATCATATATTAAAATTAAAATTGAATAATAAAATATTAATTTAATAAAAAAAATAAAATACCATATATTTCATAAAAGTAAATACATAATTTTTTAAAAGATATCAAAATTATATATTTTTCTATTCTTAATCTGATAAAATCATAACTCTTCTATAATTTTAGTTCATCATCAATAAGTGTTTCTATTAAATATGAGAATTAATCTCAGAAATTTGATAGATGTAAAAATGGGTAAACATTTCTTAATTTAAGGGGAAAAAAAACTTTCAAATAAAGTAATAATTATGATTTTGGTTCAATAATTATTTTTTCACCAAATAAACATAGATGATATATACAAATACATATCGTATAAATATATAATTCATATTTGTATGGTAATTAATTTAAAAAGAGTCAAAAAAATTAATTAATAATTTTGATATTACTTTTGAAAATCTCATGGGTTTGTGAAACAATAAAATTTAGAACCAACATTCCACAACTTTATAGGACATCAAAGTTTAAAGATGAAATATGGATGCTATGAGAACAAAGAAGTGCCAGCAACATGAAAGATTAGTCAAGGAGAATTAAAAGAGAGGTAACGTGTATAAAGGAAAATCAGGTTAAAAATTTAAAATTGTAATGGGTAAAGTAAAATATTTTTTTATAATTTTTTTAATTTAAAGTTTTTTCTTGTAATTTATAAAATAATCTATAGAATGCTTTAGTTTAAGATTTTTTTTAATATGCAAAGTAAAGAAAATAAAAATTAAATATTTATTTATTATTATTTTTTAAATAACCGCAACAATCTCATAACATATGTAGTGAGCAATAATCTATGAACATGTGCAATATGGTGAATATATTAGTGTGATATGTATTTTTGCAAGGAGTTAATTTTATAGTGGAGGATAAAAATGCATAAACATGCTATACGTGGTTCTATCCCTGATTTTGACCCATTGTTACTTCTAAGCAGTGTTATCAAAATTTGATCTGTTGTTGACTCGATTAAGACAGTGAGTTAATTAGTTATTGGTTGAATTTTTGAGTTAGTCATTAAACCGTATGATCATGTATATATCAAACATGTAAATTTTATGACGTGTATATAAATTAAAAGTATATAACAACTTTCTTGATTATAAACTACAAGGTGGTGGTTAAAAAGCTTTTTAAACACTTACAGAAACATGGTTTAAATCCTTTCTGAATACAATTATTTCAAATATCAATTCAAATTTTAGCTTCTTATGCTATGAATAGGCTTTGGTGGACAACTTGGAAAGCATGCAGAAAATCAATGTCTGAACACTAAAACTATGATAACACTGCTTACAAGCCACAAAAGGTTGAGTTTTCATGTCTTTGCTATTGGGATTTAAAAGACAGGTTAAACATTAAAACGAAATTATTTATAATTTAGTCACCATTAATGATTTTATATATATATATATATATATATATATATATATATATATATTTCAATGTAAAAATGGTATATTTTATTCTAATTAGAGTTTTTGTGCAAAATTATGATTATAAAAACCATAAGACGTAAGAATTGAGATTATTATCGATTTCTTCATTTCTAAAAAGAATTGTGCTTGTTGAGTGGGAGTAATATTCAATAAGTTGTCTTCAATTTTTGTAACCAATTGCAAGAGAATTCAAAAACAACTCTTCTAAACATATATAGGAAGACACGTACAATGTCACAATTTCACAAATCATAATCGACATATTAGTTAGTAATATAATCCGAAAAAAAACTAGTTAACAAATGAAATCATATAAGTGATTTGAATGAAATATTATCTATCAGGTAATTAAAAACTAGTTAAGCTACACATTTATGCAACAAGAGAAATTTCCTAATGCAGGTTTTTTCTCTTGTATCCTAATTCCTAAACAATTGGAATATAAAGTATATTACAACCTAAGGTTCAATTATAAACCTGTTTGTGGAGGATTTCGTTTGTAGGTTCTTTTTGTTCGAACTAGCACGAGTTCACGTTTCAATTTATGCGTGTTCGTGACATGACAGAATCGAAGACTTTCCGTGAAAGAATAAATTTGTACAAGCAACGAATATAGTTAAATTAGGGTGTTGTTACAACACGTCAGAAGATCTATGCTCATTGTTTCGAGCACTTCAGAAGATCTATGCTGGTTTGGCACATCAGAAGATCTATGCTCACTATTTCGAGCACGTCAGAAGATCTATGCCAGTTTTAGCACTTCAGAAGATCTATGCTGGTTTCAACACATCAGAAGATCTATGCTAATTGTACAATCAAATTCATGCATATAAGAATTAACGTGAATCGAACAGATGACATGTATATTGACTGTAGAAATCATATCCTTCATTAAATGGTAACAGAATTACAATTCGTAAGGATAACGAAACATGTTCAAAATGACTACACTACACTAGGCTAGACTAGGCTATGCTACGCTACTCCTAAAAAAGGAAAAGAAAAGTGGTCGAGAAATCGTACCCAAAGCTGTCTCGTATGCATAGTATGCCTTATGCGCAGGCTGCGGAGTGCGTGTGAGGTATTGTGGGAATTAGATTTCTGACCCCTTGCTACGAGCATGGCTCATTTAATTTATAGACAAAGATTTGGGAAAAAATAACTGTTTCTAACGCACCCCGGAAGTGCCTAACTGTTCTAAACTTCCACGTAGTGGCCTGCTCCCGGGCCCGTCTCTGGATAATTCTTGGAACTGCTTGTTAACTTCCCCAAATCGTTCTGCAGCCTTTGACACTTATCCCATGTCACTTCAACCGCTCCTAATTCGTGTCTCCTTTAAGTTCTCCATTCTGAGAGGTTATGAAGTGTATTCGTATATGTCCGGATTCTTGGGATTTCGAGTAACCAACGAAAACTATACTTGAGTGTTTCCTGATTCTGCTTGTACTTTGAGAGGTTGCTAGGCTGTGAGCCCTTTTCCTGAGCATCATCATTCCTGGTTCAAGGATTTCGAGAGTTTCACGAAAAATGTCTTCGCGTATCTCTTGATTCTCTTCAAGCTTCATATGCCTTCTTTAGAAACTTCTCTGCCCTTTTTCGATCATCTGGGATTTCGAGCACCTTTGTGTTTCGAGTGTCTCCGAATTCATTTTCTGGTACTAACAAATGCCCCCTGGAAAACATTTGTTTCGAGGTAACTAAGAAAGAATGTTTTCCAATACCTCCTGAACGTCCTGAGGTATGTTCTGTTGAATCTCGATTTCTCACTTTTCTGGTCGCTCTCGAACTTGTGCATTGTTACACTGCTTTTTCACAATAGGTGGTTTCTTCCAATGTTCTTACGGCCACCTTTCCTGTCACCATGCCGACTACGGAACCTTCCCCTCCTGGTCTTGTGCAAGGTGGTGCTCCTTCCTTCAATTTCGACATAGGGGTGTCCTCTGGAAAAGGTAGGTAACTACTTCTTGGACATCACGGTATTCCCCAAAGAATATTTTGTTTCACTGAAATATCCTTTTTGTGAAGGTCTAGAGGTAACTTCTGAGGATAAACAAACTCCTCTTTCTGGTCAACCTGCGAGTTCGACTGATACTGTCCCTTCCGACACTCTACTTGCTTCTATTCCTCCCGATGACATAGACCTCATAAGCTTCTTTGATGATGAAGCTACTCAAGACGACATTTTCGAGGTCTTGGAGAATTGGACTAGCGGGACTTCGGCTTCGGGGAAGACCCAGGAAACCGTTGCGAGCTTTCAACTGCTATTATCCTCCTTTCGTTCGAAGGCTTATGTGGATCATCTTGACCAGGCTCTCATGGACCCTCAATTCAAACTAGAGATTGAGCGGATGGTTGATGATCTAAATGCATATCCCGATCTTCCTCCGGAGGTAACCACAGAGCTGAACGAATATGTGCATACCTTTGCTGCAGCCTCCGAATTGCACACGAAGTGGTCTACTTCGAATCAGGAGATGGTTCAGATCGAGGCTGATACGGAAGAGGATCGAACTAAACTGGAGAAGCTCAAGACTGAACTTCTTTCGATCAAGGACTCCATCTCTCAGATAGTTCCCAAACTGATGAAGCTCAAGCAATCTGAGGAAGATACGGAGCGTACCCTTGCTGCCCTGCAACGAGAACTTGACTCGATCAAGTCCAAACATGCTGCTTTAAAGCTCCAGAGCCAAGAGATCATGTTGAAGCAAAAAGGTTTGCGGGATGAAGGAAAAGGCATATCTCTCAAACTTTCAAAGTCTTTGGATCAAAAGAGAAGATTGGAGGTCTTGTGTGCTTCGCGGAAGCAAAGTCTCGACCAAGCCTACCAGGCATATGAAGCACTTAAATCTAAATTCTGCATATTATCGAGAACCTGATGCCTATTTATAATTTAATGTTTATCCGCTTGTACCTTTATTGCTTATCTCTTTGAACACTCTTCTCAGTACATGCTACTTTCATGGAATTTCTTCAAGTATTTTCCGTTGATCACTTTACTTGCATTTCTCGAATTTAACTCTTGGATCAAGTATGCATTGTTCGAGTAGATTCTTTTGATAATGAATGGTCCTTCCCAATTATAGGTCCACTTGCCCCGATCTCGAGATTTTTGGTCCATTGGGAGGATAACTTTTAGGACTAAGTCTCCACTCGAAAATTGTTTACTCTTAACCTTTTTGTTATAAATTTGAGCTATCTTTTCTTTCTGATGAATGACATTTTGCATGGCTGTCATTCTTTCGTCATCTAGTCGAATTAGTTCATCATACATTAAATTCCAATAATCCTCGACTGGTAACTCATTTTGCCTTTGCACGTGAATGGATTGCAAATTGATATCAATAGGCAAAATTGTTTTGTGACCATACACCAACTTGTATGGCGTAGTTTGAGGGGCGGTCCTGGGTGAAGGTCTGGAAGCCCGCAATATTTGTAGCAATGTTTCATGCCAGTTTCAAAGTTTTCCCAAAATATGTTTTTTGATCAAAGCTATGATCACTTTGTTAGCAGCCTCGACTTGGCCATTAGCTTTTGCATAGTAAGGTGTCGAAGTAATCATTATGATTCCTCTCGACTGGGCATACTGGACCACTTTTCGACCTGTGAACACCGTTCCTTGATCTGTAGTTATTGTCTGGGGTCCTCCGAATCGAAATATAATATGGTCTTCAATAAAATTTATCTCTTCTTTCTGGTCAACCTCTTTTGCAGGAATTGCTTCCACCCATTTCGTAAAATAATCGATGGCCACGATTATGTACTTATGGTTTTTTGCTGACGGAGGATGAATCTGGCCAATTACGTCAATTGTCCAACCTCGAAAAGGCCACGGTTTAATAATCGCATGCAACTCGGTTGCTGATACTCTATGTATTGGGCCATGTTTCTGGCACTCTTCGCAACCTTTTGCAAATTCGATACAATCTTTGAACATGCTTTGCCAAAAATATCCTTTTCTGGACAAAGTCCATTTCATTTTCTCCCCCGCTTGATGGGCACCACAAATCCCTTCATGTACCTCTGCCATGGCTATGTAGCTCTCATGATTTCCGAGGCACTTAAACAAAACTCCATCGAAACCTCTCTTGAACAATTCATCATTCAATATCACATAATTGAGAGCTCGATATTTAACTTTTCTTTCAGCTTGCGAATTTGGACTTTGCATATATTCGATTAGCTCTTTCCTCCAGTCCTGAATGGTTGAGGTGTCAATGGTGAGGCATTCGTGCTCGTCACTCAACTCATTCCTTATACAAACAAGAGATTCGAGACATTCCCTGCTTATCTTGTACCCGGATGCAATCTGAGCTAGTTCATTCGCAATTTCGTTCTCGTTACGAGAAATATGTTCTAATTGGACCTCATCGAATGAATTTAACAAAGCTGTAGCTCGAGAATTGCATTCGAGTAACTTTTCATTCATGCATTTATATTCTCGAGTTAACTGTTTAATCACGAGTTGCGAGTCACCTCGAATGATTATGTTCCTTGCCCCCAAGTCCTTAAGCAATTTTAGCCCAGTAATCAATGCTTCGTATTCAGTTTCATTATTCGAGCATTCAGATTTCGTTCTCAATAAGAATTTAGTGGGAATCCCACCCGGTGAAATAATCAGTAATCCGATTCCTGCTCCTAACTCGTGTTTCGATCCATCGAAAAATAATTCCCATGATTTCGTGGTTAAATAATTAACCTGTTCATTTAAATTCGAGTGATCCACGAGAAAATCAGCGATTACTTGTCCTTTTGTGGCTTTGAGGGGAACAAACGTTAACGAATACTCGGTCAATGCAAGAGCCCATTTCCCAACTCGAGAGTGCAGGATAGGTTTAGATAACATATATTTAATCACATTATTTCGACAGAATACGAATACATCATAAGGTTTAATATAATGCTTCAGCTTTGTACAAGCATAATACAAACTCAGACATAACTTCTCCAAAGGAGTGTATCTGATTTCTGCCTCGACTAACATCCTACTGATGTAATAAATGGCTCTCTCGATGCCATTTTCGTCATCTTGCGACAGCATGCCCGCAATAGTCGAATCATTGGCCGAGACATACAATTTTTGCTTTCCTCCTTCAGAGGGTGGCACCATCACTGGAGGGTTGATCAAATAATTCTTGATCTCCTCGAATGCTTTTTGATGATTTTCTTCCCATCGAAATTATTCCTCCTTTTTCAATCGTAACAAAGGGGAAAACACCTTAGTCTTTCCTGATAAATTCGAAATAAATCTTCGAAGGAAATTTATCTTACCTAACAAAGACTGCAACTCATTCTTATTCGAAGGAGGCTTAGAAACTTCTCTGCCCTTTTTTGATCATCTGGGATTTCGAGCCCCTTTGTGTTTCGAGTGTCTCCGAATTCATTTTCTGGTACTAACAAAACCAAAGTTATATTTCCTAATGCAGAAAACTTGTTACCACTACTCAATTATAATCTATTTTAGTTGCCTTGCTAGCTGTTGAGGTAAAACCACATAGAAGTTTTGATTTATATGCAGATATAGAGAAACAACTTGTTTAGATTTTGTTAAGAAAAATATCCAGATGTAGCAGCAACAACTTGTTTTCATAAACACTAAAGTCACAAAAAAATTACAGCACCAGGCTTGCTATCATATGAATTTGTTAATACAAGAGAGAGCAATTTAATATGAGATCTTCATGAAATCGACAAAAATTACAGCACTAGAATTGATGTCATCTGAATCTACAATAAAAACTTATGAGTTAATCACTTATACACTGTTAGTATAAAGGTTTATTACACTAGTAACTAATCATATCTTTTAAAAGTGTCATGTCATTTACTTATTTAATAAAATAAAAATAAAATAAAATAATTTAAAAAATATGATTGATTGTCGGTGTAAAAAACTTTACACTAGTAGTGTATAGATGATTAATTTAAAAATTATTACAAATAATTGTTGTCAGCAACTTCAATGCAAATTAAGCATTAAATACATGTCATCAATGGGTGCCTACATAAAAAGAAAAATTGATCAACATTACAGATTAGGGGGCTCATTAGCTACAGGTGTTGAATAGATGATAAAAAGTAAAAGTTCAGTAATCATAAAAATGTAATCATAAGTGATATTACCGTCAAAAGTTCCTTAAAACTAAATGGGTTTTCTTGTGCTTGAGGGGGCTTATAAGCTTCAGGTACTGAACAAGACACTCCATCTCAAGTTGTTGACTTCTTAATTCTTTATCTTAAAATAAAAATAGAAAATTAAAACCAATGACAGGACAAGTATGAAATATTTGACATACAAATTTATTTATATTGCTTAGATGCTCGATAATGTGGTTTTCAGTTTTTCCTCTAGCTGAAGCTTTACTTATTCTATGGACTCAGCTCTTTAATCGCTTTTTTCTTTTTAAAATCCTTTCGGTTGTATAGCATACCTCTAACAAATGTTGAGTTATCATTGTTTTTACTATTATTGTCTTTGGCTTGTATCCAAAGATCCATATATTATTTGCTTTTAACTATTATTGTCTTTAGCTTGTATGCAAAGATCCATTATTTGCTTAGACATGACACATATATGGTATTACCTAAAATCTTGTAGTATTTTTCACAAGTTAACACCATTATTATTAGTCTAACTAGGATTAGTTTTGATATTTTATGAGTCTTATGTGAATCGATAAATATAAACTCTTACAAAATATATATATATAAATTTTTTTTATGATAATCATGTCATTGGTATAACTTGTACAATTTAATTCATTTAAGTCATCCTCAAATATATAATCTCATACTCAAATTCGCCGCTTCCTTACCCTTGAGGAGGACATCCTTCACGTCATATCAACCTTGGAGAAGAGAAGGAATCAACCACTAGCCCTCATGGAGAAGTTGGTTCCATCATTTGTTGGGGTTGAATGTAATCCATCAAACTCTTTCATATTCCTTTTGATTTATGTGTGTGTGTGTATATATATGATATTCTATTATTTAGTGTTAATATTTTGATTCTATTCTTAATGCTAAGGTGACTTAATCACTTATTCTTTGATCTTTGATTTGGATTTTGGTTGAAAAACATTTTCTAAATCTATTTTGAATTAAATCACCTAATAACTCTAAAGGCTAGGAATAAATTTGGAGTTTTTAGTTGAACAAGTTCTTGAACTTAATGCAAGGTTTTTGATTTGATAAATAGAGGAATCATTTATTGAATTGACATCCTTAGAATTTCTAAATGCAAGGAATTGATTTGAAATGATTTTAAAGAATTCAATGACATTGAGTGATATAAATCATATATAGATAATCTTAGGAGAACATAAGAGTGAGATAGGTGAAATTTAATCCCAACAACTTTCAGTACTATTATCTTTTAATTTTACAATTTCTTTGCTTGTTATCTTATAAACCTAATATTGAATTAAACAAAAATATGTTTATAGTCATTGTACATATTTCTATTACAAGTTCTAGCTAGGATATTGGAAATTACAAAATATCTTCCAAGTCCCTATGGTTCAACAACTCGTACTCATTTGCTATATTATAGCACACTTGGTGCGTTTTCCATAAAATCTCAAAAAGTCTCTTGGTGTCATTGCTAGAAACTTTTGTCAAGATATTTAGAAATTTCAATATATCCTTTTTAAATCTTGTTTGTATTTAAGTTGTATACATATTTCTAGTAGTAGATTTGATATTTGTTGCTTTCTATGCTAATTTCTTTGTTTAGTTTCTTTTTGTATGTGAGGTAAAACTCTAGTTGAGCATTTGCTTTTTGACCCTTAAATAGAGGGAACAATTAGGAGAAATAATAGTAACAAAATGAAGAGAAAAAGAAAAAGCTAGACCAAGAAAAGCAACAACAGGAAGGTGCATCCACTTTAATCTTAGTTCAACATTCAGAGCCTGAACCAATGGCTTATACAAGTGGTGTAGGAAATCTTGGCGGTGAAGGACCACACAACAACAACAATCTTAGAAGACTTTAGGGGAATATGCTCACTAGTTGGGACCTAAGAATTTCTCTATTTTAGTACATCTTTCTTTATATGTTTTTGCCTTATTTGACTTCTTTCAGTTTCATATATTCATATATTAGTTTAGATTTGTGTTAGTGAGTCATTTAGGATTTAGTTGTAAATTTTACTAAATTCCTGTAATAATTTTATGTTTTGACACAATTTCTTATGCAGGTCATATCAAGAGCCATACAACTCGAAATTGGGGAAACTTGGTGTCCCTGGAAAGATAAGAGGGAGATCTACAACTTCTATGTTGGGAGAAAAACCCAATGTTTATAGGCCCAAAATCGCGCCTCAAGCTCGCAGCCTTGCATTGAAATTTTCAACTTGTCTTGAAACTGTTTAGTTGTAGTTAATTAGACTTTAGGAGTGTAATTAGTGGGTTGAGCCCTTAGTTTAGGCCCATTAATTTGTCTTTAAATACACGTAATGAATCTTTGCATTGAAATTTTCCCTCATTTTTTAGATTTGAGTTTACTTGTGTTGCAAGTTTCTCTCAAATTCTAGCTTCTCTCATTTTCTCTCTCTCTCTCTCTCTCACGAAATTTCTCTCTCTCTCTCTCTCTCCATAAATTTTTGACGAAAATATCAGTCGTAAATTTTTCGTCGAAAAATATAAATTTTCCCTTAGAAATTTTCTGTCAAAAATTTACGTTTTTCTTTTAGTGAATCCACCAAACAATGCTTATAATCAGTACGTTAAAGCAAAATTAAACACAATTGCTTACAATTGATAAATAAGAAGATGAAAAGGCCCAAAATAAAGTTGTTATTGCAAGACGTTTTTCTCCTACTCCAGACTTTTTTTCGACAATTCAACCATTGAATATGAAAAGCCACATCGTATAAACCTATTATCTAAAAATCAGCCTGATCCAACGATGAATAACTCTCTAGTTGCAATTCAACAAACGTTGTTTGGTTGAAATGCGTCTGTAATGTTCTCTCTTTTCTTCTCTCTATATTTTTCTACTATTTACTCAAATTGAGTCACTCTTTGCCTTAATCTGACCCCTCTTCACTTGGTTAAGTGACACACAATGGGTTTATACAATTTGGGCCTATTCTCCACATAAGAAGGGAGCCCAAAATCCAACATAGTTGTGACAGGGAGAAGTTGTGGTGGAAGAGTTGTTCTTGATGTGCACAAGTGAGTACGTGACCAACATTGTGATAATAGATTCAGTACAAAGATGTTTACAAGAAATAAATAATTTATTGTAATTCATAAACATTGATTTAATGTTCTAAATTCTAGTATTGATCTAGTATATAATTCTATCATGTGGTATTAGAGTAGATTATACTAGATTTAGAATCCTAATTTTTTATTTATCAATTTCTTGATTTGGAATTTGGAAATTTAAAGTGTTGAAATTTTGATTACGATAACAAATGAATAGTTTTTTTTTTCTTTTGCGAATGCAATAGTTATCAAATGGCTCTGTTTTTTTATTATTCAAATGAAGGAATTTTGTTTGTGTGTAAATCATAACAAAAAAAAGTTATGTATACCCCATTTATTTATGTGTTTGGAAAAGCCAAGTGAAAATATTTTTCATGAGCAATTGTACATTCTGTTACAGTTTTATTGATTAAGTAAATGTATCTCACCACAGTAGGTCATTTGTAAAATTGGTAGAATTATTTTTTAATTTTAGGATGAACATGACAGTAAAATCCTTCTGCCCATAAGTGTTGAATTTTTATAACTGTTGATATTGTATAATATATTCTCTACCCACAGTGGAGTTTATATTATGTGTTAAATCCTTGTTCTTTTTGGTAATTATGTTACGTGTTACTGTCCATATTAAATTTAGCTTTTTTTACATTTTCCATGAATTTGTGAATCACATTAAGCATGTGATGAGAAATAGTTATAAGTGATGATAAATCTACTTCTGGAAATGTTCTCATGTTGGCTAGAGAAGTTGTATTTTGGATGTGTAAAACAAACTTTAACATCTTTTTCTACTAGGCAAACCGAGTTTGTTGTCTTTTATAGGGTTATATCACATGTTTTATGGTTAAGAAATTTTGTATTTACTCTTGAAATTGTAGATTTCATTTCTAAGCTATTGAAAATTTGTTATGATGTTGAACATATATACCTACTAAGAAAATACTTGTTGATCCTCAAACTAAAGGACTTATACCCATTGTGTTTATGAAACATATTTTTTTTTGTTAATTTCTAATTAAATTAATTTATTAATTCACTTATGCATGTTTATGCTTTGTTTTTAGAATAAATCTCTTATGATCAATTTTGGGTTTTCTTAAAATAAAGATTGTTGACTTCTTGGAAGTATAGGATTGTCAATAATTTCATAAATAAATAGGGATTTTAAGCTCCAAATCTCAATCCATACATTTTTTGCTCTAATTTAATTGTTATCTTGAATCAAATTTTGTTTCTTCAAACTATTAAAAGTCATGATTAAGTTGGTAATTTCTTAAACCTAGTACTTTGGGTTTGATATCTAGACTTTTTCCATTGTTACTACTGCGGTAAGGTACGCTTGCCTTAAGCGCATTTCACACGTAACAAGATTGGTTGTGTTTTCTCAAGACAACATGATATCAAATCCATGCACAATAGCATGAAAAGATCACATGAATTATGTTATGATGTGTAACTACATTTCACACTTGTGTTATGATCATGGTGATGAGATTGTAAGTTATGTAGTCATTGATAAATCAAACTTTGAATAGTTTGTCTTTATCATGACTCTTGACTTGTGATTTTATTGATAATGTTGATCATTTTTTTATGGTGATTATATTTAGGTTGTTTTGTGGCCATAATAGTTCAACCCAAGAGTTATTTTCAAAATGAATTTTCTAAATAAATAAAACCCAATTAATATTGCCCAAATGGGAGAATGTTAGAATTTTTATTTATTTGAGTTACTATTAATTGGTGTAATTTTGTTTTATGAAAATAAGTTGAATGTTATCTGACATATATGTGTGTGTGTCAATATATATATATATATATATATATATATATATATATATATATATTTATA